CGGTCCCGTCGGGGCGTTGCTCCGGGCGCAGGCAGCCCTCGGAGGGCGGCCTGGAGCCCTGCGGCTGGTTAACCCGCGCCGAAGTTTTGGGAAGGAGGCCGGGAACCAGAAAGTTGTGCTGGATTTTGTAAAGCCGCCGCGCTAGGAGTAAGAGAAGCGCCTTTCAGGTAAAGAGCCGGAGAAGGAGTCGCTTTCACCCGGCACAGAACAGCACCCCGAAAGGCAGACTGGGTCCCCGGGAAGCCTCTGCGGCCCTCTCTGGCCCCGGGGCGGCTCGGTTGGTTAGCTGGTCCGCGGAGCCCACCTTGGGTAAAGTCGTGGACCATTATGAGGCTCTGTGAACGCACGAATCAGACAAGTTCCGGGTATCTCTTGTTGCCAGATTTAGAAAATAAAAAATAAATTTTACATAGGACATACTTATTCTAAAAGATTAGCCATTGTTTATCTGAACTTCAGATTTAACTGGGTGGCCTGTATTTTGTCTGGCAACGCTACCCCTGGGGCAGATGCCTGGCTCAGGGCAGATCTGGACCGCCTGGAGCGACCAGAAGTCCCGGTTGTGACCCTCCTGGCGCCAGGGGGACACCCGCGGGGAAGGCGGACTTCGCAGGCGCCCGAAGCCGAAGGCAGAGGCGGCGTCCTGTTAGGGGCCGCAGCACTGCAGCCCCTAGGTCCTGTGCGCTCCTTTCACAAACGGCCTGTTTTGTGTATTTAAAATCGCTTCTCAGTGTCATGGTCGTAGAAACACACAGTGGGGGAGGGTAGGTCAGAAAGAGGGCATCCCAAAATGGGATGGTAGGTCCTTAGCATCCCCAGATAAACGTCCTTTTTTTGAAACCGACTTTCGTCTTCATTAGAAACAGATTGGGCAGAGAGCGGTAATAAAACAATTTTGGGGTCACTTTCAATTCAATATGGCTGATGAGTAGGTTTTTCTTCTTTTTGGTAAAAAAGACAATATGATGGATTGGCACATACACTATCCATTTCTGTATGTAAGTTTTATCAAAATAGATAAAATATATTTATGTATTGTCTATGGCTGCCTTCACACTAGAGTGCAGGCAGAGTTGAGAAATCGGGATAGAGAGGGTTTGGTCTGCAAAGCCCAAGATATTTACTATCTGGCCCTTTATGAAAAAGCTTGCAGACCCCTGAAGTAGGCTGCTAACCAAGCAATTTTTCAAATCACCCCTGATTTCATCACATACATGGTTATATTTTTTTCAGGGTTGCAATAATTATTTACTTTTTTTTTTTACTTCTGACATTTCCACTTATTGTAATGGACATTTCCCCATCCCTTTAAACTTTATTTTGGCAACTTAAAAAAATGTTGTCATTTTATCGATAGATTGCTAACTTTATCGATAGATTGTCCACTTTAGTAATTTTTGATAGTATCATAGTATTTTGCCATAATAATGTAATCATTATATATAACCATTGCTTGAGCTTTAATATTGTTGTTTACATTTTCAAATTTTCAGCCATTGCTGTGGTTATATATTTTCGTACCTGTTACTTCCTGAAAATACATTCCTAGGCGTGGATTACCAGGTTTACAGAGAGTGGGAAGAGGTTACCTTTTGGATCTTGCTTTTGTTTTCCAAAAGGATTGTGCTAGTTTATATCATCGGCGGTGAATACGTATTACAATTTGTACCATAACCTCATGAATATTGGAGTCTGCCTTCACGTTTAGCAGATACGTTGCTTTACCTATCAGCACACCAGTTATCTTTGGACAAATGAGAGCAGCACAGGGAGATGAGGGGCAAAGAGGATCTGCTTTCAGAGCTGCGTTTTAACTTTTGTGGGCCCTGGGTGCTTTTGCCTTTCTAGACGCCTTATTCCATAAAAAAGAAAATTATATTTTATGACCACATTGGTATAAAGATAAATATATTAAAATTATACATTAAGACATTTTCCTTGACCTAAAAGTTCATTTTTTCCTTCTGATTTGAAAGAAGAAAAAGACAAGAAAGCATTTTTTTGTGGGCTTCTGGAAAGTATTGTTGGTCCTAAGCATTGTACGTGTTTCGTCCAATGGAGACATTGGCCGTGTGCATTATGATGTTTTTTTTCAGGCTGAGAAAACTTAGACATTTTTTGACTTTTGATAGGAAAGAGATCATTAGCCAGATGAGGCTTATTAGAGGAAATGTAACTATGAATGTGCCCGTCTTCTAATTTGGTGAGAGATTAGGAAGTTGCTTTAGATTTTCGGGGGTGGGCGGTTGGAAAAGCTGATCCAGTCACTGATTCAGATAAAGTGGAATTAAAATAAACTGTAATGTGCTTTGTACATGAAAGAAGGATGGCTTTCCCTCACGCCTTCTCTTCCTCTGCATTAACAACGAAACAGGTACCCTGACGTGCAGGCTCGGGTGCAGGCGGAGCTGGATCAGGTCGTGGGCAGAGACCGGCTGCCTGGCCTGGACGACCAGCGCCAGCTGCCCTACGTCATGGCCTTCCTTTACGAGGCCATGCGCTTCTCCAGCTTCGTGCCCGTCACCATCCCTCACGCCACCACTGCCAACACGTCTGTTCTGGGCTTCCACATCCCCAAGGACACGGTGGTGTTTGTTAACCAGTGGTCAGTGAATCATGACCCGCAGAAGTGGCCGGACCCGGAGACCTTCGAGCCCGCCCGCTTCTTGGGCCCGGACGGGCTCATCAACAAGGACCTGGCGAGCAGCGTGATGATCTTCTCGGTGGGCAAGCGGCGCTGCATCGGGGAGGAGCTCTCCAAGGCGCAGCTCTTCCTCTTCACCGCCATCCTGGCGCACCAGTGCCACTTCAGGGCCGATCCCGACGAGCCCTCGGAAATGGATTTCAGTTACGGCCTGACCATTAAGCCCAAGGCATTTAAAATCAACGTCACTCTCCGAGAGTCCATGGAGCTCCTGGACCGGGCTGTCCAAACGCTGCAAGCCGAGGAGGAGTGCCAGTGAGAAGCCAGAGCAGGCTGGAATTCCAGAAGGACTCGGTTTTGAGGGCTGGGGAGGAAAAATGTCCAGCTCCTCTGAGCTGCTTTCTCGGTTAGCCTCCGAAGTGGGCCCAGGTCAGGACTGGACTGTGCGGGAGCTCTGGGAAGATTTTTTTGTTTTTCAGTCAGAGTTAAAAGGCCCAAAGAATTTTTATACATACATCGAGTGCTGGTAATTTCTCGAGGGAGCATTCTTTGGAGATAAAACGCGCATGTGCACGCCCGGAGAACTACCTGATGAAGAGGTACTTCCAATACCAGGCTCTCGTGGGTGGGATCTGAGATTTGTGTTCTGCGTGCTGAGCGTCAGTTGGAAACTGTATTAAGCAAAGCTTCAGAATATATTGCTGAATATGCAAAGGCAAATAATTTCAGTGTAAGACGTGACTTGAGGGTGAGAGGGAAAAGATTCCAACCAGAAATTTCCTTCTCACCTTATCAATACGGTTGCTTAGTTGGGCTCTGGTACCTGTGGATGGATTTATCGTTTGGCCTACTGATGAGCTTTCTCTTACTTTTTTGGATAGGTCATAAAGTCATTTGCTGAAAAAGAAATTAATAGTAGTTGGTTTAGCGATTATAGTGGGTTTCAGTGATTTATCATGATGTTTAAAGTGAAAGTTGTTAAACTGTAAAATATTCTGCTCTGTGTTGGTTGCTGAAGTACAGAATTTCAATTATGAGCAACATCCCCCAAGCCCCCCAAAAAGATTTACCTGCCCAGCTAAGCTTTAAATGATGTGATTGCAATGCACTGATTTCAATACTTCGCATAGATTTTAAAAAATCACCAAATAGTATTCAATATGTATACATATATAATGATTCATAAGCAATATGTATTAGTTATTTTATTATTAAATAGTATTAATTAGTTTGGTCAAGAAAAGGTTGAATAATGTATGTCTTTTATAATGCCATAGAAAATTGAAAAGTACAAGCCATTCAACTAATGTTGGCTCAAGTCATGAAATGAGTTAGATTAAATCAACTACCTATTTTTGACATGGAAACCAAGTTGAAGCAAAATCTCGTCTTTCATCTGAAACTCTAATGACAACTGAAAAAATCTAAACATTGGGCCAGCAAAGATGTCTCCCTTATTACTTTATGGTAGATTTATTAAAATTATATTCATAATATAGAATCTCTTTTGAAAATTGATCAAGTTAATATGTTATAATTACAAACTCTTGGCATGCTTTGATTTTAATTTAATTTAAAAGACATTCTGATTATGGAGTTGCAGTTAAAGTTACTGGAAATCTGACCATTAGCAATTGGAAGGCAGAGAAATTTCACCTGTGCTTCCTGATGAGTAGTGAGCAATGCAACAAATTACCAGAATGCTCTCTTTATTAAGAGAGAAGAGGGACATTTTCCATTATAACAGACCTAGTTTTCCTTTTAAAAGATTTTTTTTAAAAAATAGCATTAACGTCAGTGTTTCGGAAAGTCAGAACCAGAAGGTAGTCTTGGAGGCTGTACCGAGGCTTGCATTGCGTGCCACTGACGCTGACTGGATCAGCTGTGCCGTTTAAGACGGGCAACCCAGTGAGCCGATGCTTTGGTAACTGAAAACATAAAGCTTGAATGAAATGTGTACATTCAGTTTATGCAAATAACCTGAAAACCTTAATGAAAGTGATGGAAGACTGCAAGAGTGCAAAGTGAAGTTTAACTTTCATTGCATGTCAGTGTCCAAAGGAAGTTGTACAGTATCCTACAAGCTTATAAGCTCTTGGACTCTTATCAAAATTACAAAGGAAGGTATATCATGGCTGTGTGTGGGGCGGAAAGAGAAAAGTGAAAAAGTGAAAGGAAGAAAGATGGTTAAGCATTTCCCCACTCATTCCAAATTAATTCATTTGAAATGTGAATATTTAGAAAAAAGGTATTTTTTGTGTGTCAGCATTAAATCCCAAGTAGACTTTTAAAAATCTACAATATATTAGATCTCTTTTGTAACTTGAAATTTTTTTAAATCCTCACCCAAGGATATGTTTTTATGGATTTTATTTTTAGAAAGAGAGAAGGGGGGGGGAGAGAAAACATCAATCAGTTGCCTCCTGTACGTGCCCTGACTGGGACTGAACTCACAACCTTTTGGTGTAGAGGGCAGTGCTCCAACCAACTGAGCCACCCAGCCAGGGCTGTAATTTGAAATTCTTTATTAGTAAAAATCTCACATAATTTTAATTATAAAATATCATAGCTGTACCTCTTGAATATGAAAAACTGTTTGTGCCAGTATTTTCAAAGGCACTAAAGTCAGCTATAGAAATGAAGTTTACCAACACATTTACATTTTTTTGGCACTGGCAATTCCAAAATATTATTACGCCTGCCCCCATCCCTCCAGCGGGGCTGAGACAGTGACTTTGGGCTGCCTTAGCCTGCTTACTCTGGGAAATGTGTAGCAGCAAAGTAATCATGTACTAATCTGGATGCCTCATTAAGTCAACTAGATCCAGATGTGCTATAATCTGTTTTTATGTAGTTTTTATGTATGTGGGCTCAGTTAATCTGGAGCTTTCAGCAATAGGAAAGCTGTGCTTATATAGAAGAAAGTAAGGTGGGAGCTTAGAGGTTAGCTGGTTTATTTAATATGTTCCTAACCTAATTAAAGAAAAGCAAAACCAAAAACAAAAATAACCAAATTTGGGGCCTACAGTAATTGTATTACTGGCCAATCAGAAAACCTCATTTTATTTCTGCCAGAGCAAAAATGCATTTGCTGGTCACCATTATAGTCAGAACATCTACTCCAGGTTACTGCAATAAAGTATATTGTTTATTAAGTGCTTCACTTATATATTAAACTTTGACTTTGTAAGAAAATTGCTTTTTTCCCAAAACAAAAAGGTGTCTCAGGTTTGTTTTGTGGGTTATCTTAAAGCCTTCGTGTCTCAGAACTTAGCCTTTACCTGTGAAATATTATTATAGCCTTAATATTTTCATATTAGATCTACATTAGATCAAATAGTTGCATAGCATTATATATTCATTTGTGTGTTTTTAGCTATGACACAAATATGTGATAAAAAGGTACACTTTATTAGATGTTTATAACTCAAGGATTACTTCTTATTTAACCTTTTCTTATTTTTGTACTTTATCATGTATGCTTTTAATCTGTACATAGTGACTATAATGCATAGTTGTACCTGAAATAGATTTTGGGGACACAGCATTAATATGTTGTAGCTTTTACTGTGTGATATACCAAGTAAAAAATTCTGTATCTGCAATTACCCATAATAGGACACCATTACCAAAATAATAAAAATCACTTTCATAATCTTGTTATGAAGTTTTACTTTACGTTGTAGCAAATATAGTCTAATGCATCTACTCATTTTCAACTACTATTTTTAAGTGCTTGAATTAAAATGTTGCATTGTAAACATTTTATTTGGTCATTCTACATTTTAGGCTGCTTTCTTTTCTTTTTAAAATAGGCTTTCATCATTCAGTTTCCTGCCAAATTCCTGACCTCTGTATTTGAATTTGTGAGAACCAACACAGACATTAAATTTGAATGGCAAACAACAACCAAGGTCAAAATTAATTTTAATTTTGAAATATTGAGTAGATTGAGACTTTAAGACTCTGGCCTTATATTTCTGCTTTATCTAAAAAGTGCAGGATGCATTTTTTCCCCCTTCCACACATCAGTCTTTTCCTTGAGTATCTCATTCATTCTTTCCTTTTTTTTTTTTTTTTTTTTAAACACGGAAGCCTTCATTTTTAATTTGGTTGATACAAATTCATTTATTCATTTTTTTAAAGGTGCAATTAATGTCCAATAAAACAGAGTGGATGAGAGTATTCTGTAATATACTATATGGAAATATTTTTCTGCTGACTTATTTACCTGGTGAAAGCCTTGGCCTCGCAGGGGCGGCCCCTCTGTGATCTCCAGGCCTTCAGTGCCCCACCCTCCCAGATGGCAGCACTGTGCAGTGCCAAGGGCCCTGATTTCTTCCAGACTTTAGCTCCCGTTACTGTGAAAACAAGAAGAGAAACTGTGAAGTAAAATTGCACGCCATGCTTTTGATACACTGGCTCGAGAACATGACTTTAGCAGCCAAAGCTATGGCTATGAATTGGTTTAACAGAATACTCACTTGTTTTCCAGATGTACTAACCTAGGACCTTGGAAATGGTCATCGAGCTTCAGGACAACTGAAGTAAATCTTTTCAAAGGAAAAAATTTCTTTAACGAAATCATAAGTGGGGTCAAATGTTCGCAAAAACGTCAAGCAGAGTTGGGTTCTACCCAAAGAATGCACTAGAACAGCAGCCCGGAGCATGGGCTGGGGAATGAATGCAGCTTGGTTCAGAAGACGGGCGTGGTTGTTGCAAACTCACCAAGGTCATTTCCATAACCTCAAAGCCAGTCAATCTGTCTGCACAAGGGCTACCGAAGTTTTGGATGTTAACTCTCCCTTATTTTGGTTCAATGACTCACATATTCTCTGCTCTCCAGTTTTGACCTATAAGTTATAATTCTTAGAAAAGGGAAGAGAAAGAAAGGAAATTAATACACTCAAATACATTCAGAAGCAATTATTTTTAATGCAAAAGCTTGGAGGAAAATCCAATTTAAATAGGTATGGGCAAGCTAGAGGCTAACAGCAGCCTCCTTATTTACTCACAGGCTGTGTGGGCTTCGTGACCGCTTTTCAGTATGTGGCAGGTGTGAAAGAAGTGGAACTAAACTGTTGAGCACTAACTATGTGTGAACCGCCACGCTGACCACCTGGATGCATATGACACAACAGTCCTGTGGGGGGGCAATAACGCAACATGCCCAAGTGTACATTTGGAAATGGCGTGTCTGACTTTTCCCGAGAGATGGACTGACTGCAACACTGCTGTTTTCTGCGATGTAGCTGTCGCTCCTCAGCCTGCCTGTGTTGCGTATACAGTCTAGTCCGTCCATATTTTAATCCCCGTGATCCTTGGAGATTCACAAGCAAAGTACCTCCTCTGTCCAGGGTGCATTCCACACCCATCAGGGAGTAGGAGACTTTGTGAAGTGCCAGCCAGAGTCCTAACACTCCTCTCTTCTGAGAATAGCATCATCAAGTTGTTCCTTATGCTGAAAGAAAAAGAAAAAAGCTCATGCTTTATGTTACAGTCCCAAAGTCTTTGTCCTATAATCCATCTGGGCCAGGGATCCTTGCCGGAGTCAAAGGCCTTCCATAGGTCGGACGAGTTGCCTGTGAAGTGGCCTGGTTCGAGAACTCTCTCTGACAGGGCCACGCTGGGTACTGGCTCATGTGGCCAGTCAGAGCCTCTTCTGCTCTCAGAGACCTTGAGTAGGATAAACGCGGGGAGCACTGGCCAGACACAGAACCAAGGCATGAATGAAACAAGCATGTTGACCGGAAGCTTGCCTCTGAAAACAGCACAACCGGAGCACCTGGACCTGGTGTTGGACCAATTGTGACCCATCTAGGTGACTGAGAGGCCAAATAAACTAAGTAAATATTATACTAAACAAACACAGATCACAAATTACGCAGTATCACAGCACAGACCTAACAGCCACTGAGATCCCGTCGGGTCAGGGCTAAGAGTCTCTCCACAACCCAGAAAAATCTTCCAGCCTCTTTTTACCATTTTTAATTCTGTTTTTTCTTTCTTTCTAAAAATTAAATTCTATTTTGTTCCTCTTTTTCTCTTAGTTTCTGTCCCTCTCAATAGTGCTTAATGTGCATTTATTGTTTATGTCCCAGAAGAATTCATATTATTGTCTTATATACATGTTTTTAATTTGTACAAATCTGCAATAGCCCATCCTGTCGCTTCAGCTCCCCTTCACACCATATTTGGGAGTTCCATATCTTTAAATCTCATGGCTTCTAACTGTGCCTCGTGCCCCATGGTGTTCAACTATCACATTTTCTCCATCCACTTTGTTGGGAATGGGCATCCAAATGGCCTCCAATTGTTTGCATCCCTAAATTAATGCTGCTAGGAGCATCCTTGTACATGTTATTTATAATCACCCCAAACTGGAAACAACCTAACTGTCCTTCGATAAGAGATTGGCTGAACAACTGTGGTACATCCATCCAAGGAAACAACACTCAGCAATAAAAAATAAACAAGCTATTGATCAATGCAACCGCTTGGATGAGTCCCATGGGAATAGTGTTGAGTAAAAGAAGCCAGCCTTGAAAAGTTATATGGTACATGAATTCAGTTGTATGGTAATCTCTAAAAATCAAAACTAAAGTGATAGAGAGCAGATCACTGGTTGCTAAGGGTTAGGGGTGGAGGGAGGGTGTGACTACAAAGCATGATGGAGTTTTTTTGGATTTTCTGATTGTGGTAATGGTTACATGGACCTAGATGTGTGCTAAAATTCATAAAACCGTACATTAAAATAGATTTAAAGATACTTTTTAAAGGAGAGTTGGTGCAAATGAGCTTAACTAAAGCCGAGTTGAGGTTGGCAGATAGCACAGCAACTGCTGGCAGATATAGAAACACTGAACAAAGGAGGTCAAGCCCAGATGTGTGAACCGGGGTCATGGCCTGTGTTGAGTCCTTGCAGACTAAGGGAAAGGGTGGTACCAGGTCCTCAGAGCAGAACAGAAAAGTAGAACACCAGCTTTTGGGATGAACAACAGTAGCTATAGCCATGGGCTGGAACCTGCCACTCAGGGCAATTATAATTCAGTGCCGTAAGTGTTAATTGAGCACCTACTAGTGGCAGGCACTCCTCTGGACACTGGGAATATAACAATGGACAAGACAGCCAGGCCCTGAGCTCTTAGAGCTGATATTCTGGTGGGGTGGGTGGAGGGAGAAAAAAAATAAATAAGATTTTAGTTCATTGTAAGCGTGCTGTCTGAAAAGACAATAAAACAGAGGGGTGTGTGTGTGTGTGTGCGTGTTGGGGACACCAGGGCTCAGGTCACACACACACACACACACACACACACACACTAGAAGGAGTGGTCAGGCAAGGCTTTCTGAAGGAGGTGACATGAA